AAGTAATTCCTACACCTCTCCACATCAATACCACCAATAACAAGTGGCTGGATGTCTGTTTTGTTTTTCCTGAAGTTGATGACCAGCTCCTTTGTTTTTTTTTGATGTTGAGGAGCAGGTTGTTAACCTCGAATCACTTAGAAAGCTGCTCCACTTCATCCCTATAGACCCACTCACCCTCCTTGCTCGAGATGAGCCCGGCCACTGTAGTGTCATCCGCAAACGTGATGACCTTGTTGCTCTGGTGGGTGGCAACACAACTGGGTTAGTGTTACAGTGTGTAGAGGGTGAAGAGGAGTGGGCTGAGCACACAACCCTGTGGTGTCCCGGTGTTGAGACTAAGAGCAGTGGAGATGTGAGGACCTAACCTGACCCTCTGGGAGCATCCTGAATCCAGCTGCAGGTCAGTGATGGGAGTCCCAGATCTTCCAGCTTGGACAGCAGTYGATGTGGGAGTGTGGTGTTAAACGCAGAACTGAAATCCACAAACRGCAGCACAACTGAAAGCTCTGCCTCTCATTCTACTTTTAGAAACTCGAGGAACCACAAATAAACCTGCAGTTCTGTGATGATCCTGGAACACTATTATTTCTGTCCAGACTTCAGACCCACAGAGCAACATTTGTCTGGCCCAGTTCTGGCCCACACAATGCACTAATACTCTTAACACTCGGCCCAGATACCATAAAGAATGACGGACCTTTGGTGGCCAAGATGTRGTTTACCAGCAGTGGTCCGTGCATGGGCCAACACCACATAAAGCAAACCACAACGGAGCCAGTGGTGGCCTGCCATCTTAAAACCAGTGCCAGACCTGACCCACATCTGGTTGACAAACCATGCTGCCATGCCAGCAGTGCCAGTTTGACACCAGATCTGGCCTACATGTCTGCTATGTGGGGATGCTCAGACTCATAGTTTTTCACCTGATTTGTCTTTCAGATGTGATGTAAAAAAAGCTCTTTCCTTCTTTTTAACACTGAAATCATTAATTCCACTTTGTTTCTGCAGGAATTCAGACAGGCCTTTTCTGCTGTTTTTCTCCTTTCTCCAAGTCCACACAGCCATGTTTGCTTCAGCTGCATTCAGAGGAACCAGCCGCCACGGCATCTATGGAGACGCTGTCCATGAAGTGGACTGGAGTGTGGGTAGGTCCCTGGATGAATCAGTCTGTTGTGCATCTGAGTCAGCATTCACATCTACTACCACATCTAATTTTACTTCATTGTCTGTACAGTTGACTGGATTATATCCATTTTTGTTTTCTGAAGTTAGCTGGGTGTGGTGGCCATCTTGAAAGGTGATTTGTGTTTTTTCAGGTCAGATAATGGAGACTCTGGACAAACTGAACCTGAGAGGAAACACTCTGACTTACCTGACCTCAGATCAGGGAGCTCACCTGGAGGAAATATCTGCCTCAGGAGAAGTTCATGGAGGATGGAACGGCATCTATAAAGGTAAGTMATCAGGTGAAATTGTGGGTCAAATGTAGAATTTACTGTGTGGTGCTTCAGTCACCAGGTCCTCTTTGTTTCAGATTAACAAAAGCACAAAATTCTAAGTTGTACCTAACCCCACAGAGTGTTGAAATTAAAAAATCTAAATGTTTACAAGCCAAGTTTATAGAATATAAGACAGTGTAAATAAGCTGCTGACGACATGAGGCAGATACCTGGTACTTACAGGGTAAGATACTACAGGTAACTACCAGGTACATACCCACATATCCAATACCAGGTAACTACCAGGTACATAATCTCTAATTTACATTTAACTACCAGGTACATAAGCTCTAATTAACAGGTAACTACCAGGTACATAATCTCTAATTTACAGTTAACTACCAGGTACATAATCTCTAATTTACAGTTAACTACCAGGTACATAATCTCTAATTTACAGTTAACTATCAGGTACATACCCACATATCCAATACCAGGCAACTACCAGGTACATAATCTCTAATTAACAGGTAACTACCAGGTACATAATCTTTAATTAACAGGCAACTACCAGGTACATAATCTCTAATTAACAGGTAACTAACATGTACATAATCTTTAATTAACCATCATTTTTCATCTTCTTCGTCATCTTTACCAGCATTTTCACTAAGTTCTACTTTTAATACTCTTAATTTTCTTCTTGCTTTCAAAAAACGTTTCTACTGGCATTGTATTCCAAAGCACATATGTACAACAAAACATTGGTCTTTAAACTTCTGACAAACTCCGCCTTGGGCGGCTAAWAACCAGTCTAATAATTACCTGTTCTGCAAGGTCATTCTGCTTTTGTCAACATTCACATCCAGTTTAATCTACTCATTCACCCGATCCTGCAACAATGTTACAGACATCTTTATTCTGACCATTAGCACACAGTCCAGCCTATCTTTGTGGCAGTACATTCCTCATCACACATCCAGTAACTATCTGCAGTAGAAAAGGTTTGTTCACTGAAAAAAATACATAAAATAAATTGTTGGAATTGTCATTGTTATGTTCTCACATGTTTTACTTTAAGGGTTTTGGGTTCTCATACCAAACAGGTGTATTCACAAAGATTGGTGTCATATTTGCATGTGGAAACCATGAAAGTACCCACGTTACGTTTCATTTAACTGTTGTATTTCCCAAATAGAATACTCTGTTTATCTGTGAACCCTCCACATGTGAAACATTCATATTCTGCATCATGATCTATTTTATATCTTGTTGGTGGTCCGTTTTGTTCAGATTTGATTGAGAACTCAGCACATTTTTCTTGGATCTTATATCCRAGGTAGATGTCCAAATAATTGTGAATTTTCTGTGCTCCATTTAGAAGCCTACATTTTATTCCACACATTGGAAGTTTGAAATACGACGATATGTTTGATTGAGTATTAGTTCCATGTTTAWTTTCTTTACATTTTTCTTTTTGCACTTTGGCACATTCTTGTGAATTATACTTCTCTGGAATCACTATTGGCAATGAACCAGGAGCTTTGGTRCATAATATGCATTCATTTGACGTCATCTCCTTTGATGTATAGTGCCCACAAATACCAGGTATTTTGATTAGCTAATTCCCAAAGTTCATCTCCTTTTATAGGTTTTGTCTTGTCTTGTATCAAGTAATTATCAGGTACATGTCCTGTAAGTACCAGATAGGTACCAGACAGGTACCAGGAGGGGTGAGACTGAAAAGCTCAAGTTTTGAACATTTTCTGTAGTTTGTAGCTTTAAGACCCACTTTGGTCCTTTGGACTCTAACCAATCAGTGGTTCAGGAGTGGACCTCCTCTCATAGGGCTCAGCTGTAACATGTATTTCCCTCTGAGCAGCTGGAAAGTCCACTAACTGGGAAGGAGGGATCCGTGTCCCAGGGATCATTAGTTGGCCAGGGGCAATCCCGAGTGGCAGAGAGATCGACGAGCCCACCAGTAACATGGATGTGTTTCCTACAGTGGTGGGTCTGAGCGGAGCGTCATTACCCCAGGACAGGTCAGGGTCCCTGGGCTGTGGGTGTGAAGGACTCCCTGGATTCAGTGAGGAGGGAGTGACTCTGTTTGTTCTGTTTGTAGGCTCATAGATGGTCGGGACCTGATGGCCTTACTGCAGGGGACAGCTGAACGGTCCAGCCATGAGTTTCTCTTCCATTACTGTAACTCCTACCTGAACGCCGTCAGATGGCATCCTAAAAACAGTGAGTGTTTGTCCGTCTGTGGAAGTGTGTGCTGTGTGTTACAGTGTGGTGTTTTCTGAACTAAGAAGTGCTGAGTCATCACGTGCTGCTGTTGTTTCAGGCAGCTCTGTGTGGAAAGCCTTCTTCTTCACCCCCAACTTCTACCCTGAGGACCAAGCCACCTGTTTGCACACACATGTCTGCTTCTGCACCCCAGACCACGTGACCTACCACGACCCCCCTCTGCTCTTTGACCTGTGGAGGGACCCGTCAGAGAGCCAAGCCCTGAGCCCTGACACGGAGCCCACCTTCCACTCTGTTGTTGCTGTGATGAAGGAGGCCGTGGAGAGGCACCAGAGGACTCTGGAGCCTGTGGAGAGGCAGCTAACAGCAGAGAAGCTGATGTGGAAGCCCTGGCTGCAGCCCTGCTGCTCCACACTCACACAGCTCTGTCGCTGCCAGCACACATGAAGACTTCCTGTCTGTGGACCGACCGAGCCAGCTCCGACTCATTTTACCGTCTGTCTCGTCTGTGTGTAAAGACCAGAGGAACCTGTCTACATCGTTACCTGCTCCTGGTTCTGGTTCTGGTCTCTGTCTCCAATGTGCTGCTCAGGATGGGAGACTGTGATGAAGTGAAGGTTCAACACAACCTGCTGCTTCTTTAGAGAACTTTGACCGTCTGATGTTTTAGATGTCCAGAGGCAGAGGACATGAAATGGAAATATTCAACAGAAACACTTCAGGAGCTCCCATTGTAAAGTTAAAAATATACCATACTTAAAAATTGCCAGTACAGATTACTCTGGATTAAAATGCTCAGTGAAGAAACCTTTAATTATTTTGCTGAGACGGGGGGTGTCACCCAGTGACGTAGCTCCAATGCCTTGCTGCCATRTAAGGAAAAAGTATTGTGGGAATTGTCTATTATCAGCTATAAACTAAAACTGTGAGTCAGCAGTGCTGTCAGAGTATACAGTTTCTCAGAGAAACACAATGTACGTCCAACTCAAGAGGGTTTCTTGTCAGGAGACAAAAGCCCTAAAGCACTAATCAGGAAATTAGTTCCCCTATTAGTAAGTAAAGTTTTATTTATAAAGTGCCTTTCACAGAAATAGATTCACAAGGTGTGTTAGAATCATCAACAGTGTAAAAATGGTGGAAATACAAAACAAAACATAATAAAACATAAATAAAGCATAATAAAACATATTAAAACATACAACATAATGAATCATCAGAAACAGGAAGAATAAATTCTAAATTGTAACAGACACGGTCAAGGTAGAGCATGACAGGAGGAGAGTGTTATGTAAGAATGTACAAATCAAATAAGAAAAATTGTTAAATAAAATGTGGGAGAAATATATGCCATATATACAATAATACAAAAAAAATCAACAGAGAGAAGGGGGGATTACGCCGTATGTTCAATAATACAAAGACCCATGGTTGGCGAGCAGTCAGTGGGTATAGGCTGCCATTAATGGTGAATGGTTAGCTAAAAGCTTGAGTAAAAAAGTGGGTTTTTAGGTGTTTCTTGAAAGAGACAATGTTACCAATGGAGCACAGATTAACAGGGAGTTCATTCCAGAGCCTGGGGGCCACAGAGGAGAAGGACCGGTCACCACGGGTCTTGAAGTGAGTGAGGGGAACCATAAGGAGATGTTGATCCTGTGAGCATAGATTTCGTCTGGGGTTGTAAGGGGAAATAAGACKTTYAATGTAGTTGGGTGCTTGRCCAWGGAGAGCTCTGAAAGTGAGGACCAGGATTTTGAACATGATTCTGAATTTAACMGAAAGCCARTGAAGTTCTGCTAGGATCGGGGAGATGTGGRTGAATTTGGAGGGTCATGTTAGGAGTCTTRCTGCWGAGTTTTGGACAAGCTGAAGRCGATTTAACTGTTTCTGGTTTAGGCAGGTGAACAAGCTGTTACARTAGTCTGTGTGACTAGAAATGAAGGCRTGAATTACCATTTMCAAGTCTGAAGTGGACAGCAGGGGCCGGAGYTTAGAGATRTTMYGAAGCTGAAAGTAGCAAGTGGAAACCAKGTTCTTTATGTGTTTATCTAGAGACAGATCTGAGTCCAGATTTACTCCCAGGTTGTTCACATTCTGCTGAACGGTTGAACTCAAAGAGTCGAGATGTTCTTTTATCTTTGGGATTTTATTTTCAGGGGCCAGGATCAAGGTCTCTGTCTTGCTAAAGTTTAGGAGCAGCAAGTTGTCTGACAGTCAAGGGGCGGATGTAGAGCAGGAGTAGAACTGGGCCCAGGATGGAACCCTGTGGAACTCCGCAGGTGAGTTTGGCTGAGACAGAGAAAGATTGGCCTAATAAGACTGAGAAAGAGCGGTCTGAGAGGTATGATTTGAACCAGTCTAGCACCACCCCGGATATCCCTATGTCTTTCAGATTACAAAGGAGAATAGAGTGATCGACAGTGTCAAAGTCTGAGGAAAGGTCCAGTCAGAGGAGGACAGAGTACATGTCTCTATTAGCAGACATTAGCAGATTATTTGAGACACGGAGCAGGACAGTCTCTGCAGAGTGAGATCTGCGGAAGCTAGATTGAAAGTGGTCAAAAAGATTATTTAAATCCAAGTAGGATGTTAGTTGTACTGAAACAATTTTCTCCAACACCTTAGACAAAAATGGTAGCTTTGAAATGGGCCGGTAGTTATTTAGATCAGATGGTTTAAAGATTGGCTTTTTTAGTATGGGTTCCACAACTGCCTTTTTAAAGGATTCTGGGACGCATCCTGATGTAAGTGAGAGGTTTAGCAAGTGTGGGTCCTACTACGTCATAAACAGCTTTTAAGAATCTGGGAGGTAAGATGTGAAGAGGGGAGGCAGATGGTTTAATTTTTTGGATTATGGTCCCAAGATTATTCACAGTTACCAGATCAAAAGAAGACCAGGAAGGACTGAGACTGATCTCAGGTGGGGTGGTTATGTGGAATGGGAGCATGATATGGTTGAGTTAAAATGCTGCGTCGGATGTTCTCACTTTTGGCAGCAAAGTGTGTTAGAAAATTATTGGGTCTKGCAGGAGAACGGGCGGCGGGAGAGGAAACGACCAGGGAAACCAACGTGTCAATGGAGCTGAATAACGCTCTGGGGTTTTTCTTAAAGCGGGTGACCCAACTGAGCAAAATCTTGAGACCTCTGAGCAAAATCTTGAGACCTCGCATTTTTTATCATGGTCTGCAATAATCATCTAAGATCTCTAAGATGAGGCCTGTGCACTTCTAAAAGGGATGACTTCCACAGACCCTCTGCCTACCTACATTTGTGTCTAGCAGAGCGGATGGTCTCATTCATCCATGGAGTAGGTGTTTTAACAGTAGAGGTTTTAGTGGTTGTTACAGTACAATCATTAAAAACAGTTGAACAGTGATGGTCTAATAAATCAATAAAATCATCTGGTTGATTTATATCAGCCAGGACAGACGGGTCAAAAGAGGCAGAAAATGTGACAACAGCATCCTGCTTTAGGAACTTTTTCTGAATCTGCTCTCTGGGGGGGAGGGGGCTCCAAGACAGAATTAACATTAAAAAACACAACAAAATGGTCGCTAATATGCAAGTCCTCAACACACATTATTTACATTCAAACCCAGAGAACAAACCAGGTCCAACATGTGGCCATGTTGGTGAGTTGGGCCTGAAACGTTGAATAAAGTTAAAACAGTCCAGAATGGAGATGAAATCACGGGTCTCGCTGCAATCTGCAGCATCAAAATGAAAGTTAAAGTCACCAAGCAGTAAAAGGTGGTCCAGTTTTATGACGGAGAATAAAAAAATCGGCGAATTCTTTAAGAAAGTTTGTAGCTGGTCCAGGGGGGCGATAAATCAGGATACAGTAAAAAGGGTGTGAAGATCTGACAATGGTCTGTGATTCAAACAATGAACATTGTGCTTACCAGCCAGCAAGAGAAACTGTCCCGATGTAAGGCTGCTAGACCTCCACTATGTCGATTCAGCCAAGGCGTCACGACCACCGAGTGGCCGGAGGAGCGAAGTTCATTCAGGTGGAAATGATCATCTTTCCTCTGCCAAGTTTCGAYCAGGAACATAAATTCAAGATCTTTAGAGTGGAAAAGATCGTTTAGCAGAAGAGCCCTGTTGGTGATGGATCTTGTATTTAGAAGAAGCATCCGGAGCGGTGGAGAGCTGGTTAAGTCCTGAGGTGAAACCAGGGGGATTCGAATAACGTTTCTTTCTCGACAGCTGGAGCATTTTGCCAGTGTGTAGGAGGGCCAGGAGTGATGCGTGCATGGAGGCCCATCATCCGCTCGGCCCCCGTTCAGCAGACGAAGGCATCGAGGCCGATCACCATGAGAAGGACCGCCGTGTTCATTGGAGCATCTCCATCGTGACGATACCCCAGCCCGGCAACCTCTTTTTGTGTTTTCTCCTGGGATTTTCTTGGCGGTGAGGCAGGGAGAAAAGATGCTAGTCCAGTAGTGAATGTTAGTSAAACAGCAGAGGGGGAAATGTGTGGGGGTAGTTCTGCCATGAGGAGAAGGGGAGCTCCATGGATTTTCTGATCATCAACCGAGACTGGCGATAGTAGTGGAGCTAAGAAACTGCATCAACGGAATTGTCCAAAAAACGCGAAGGAAAAAAGGTGGGACTAAGCGTTATAGATAAAATTCCAAAGAAAACGTGTGAGTAGGAGGCAATGGTGGCCAAGCCAAACATCGGCGTCGCTATCTTGCCAGGAACTGTTAGTGTTTTAGGGGAATTGTGCCCACCACTGGTCCCTGTAATGGACTGGAGACCTGTCCAGGTGTCTCTGTCATAGAATGTAGACATGTCCAAGTATATCTGTGATAAACTGGAGACCTATCCAGGTTGTCCCCTTGCCCCTCACACAGTGACTGGTGTATATGGGGACCAGTGACCCTGACAATAAGCAGCAGGTATACACTCGGACAAAAATTGTTGGTACCCATCGTTTATTGAGGGGTACCAATAATGTATTGCACAACCTTTTGAGTCAGTCATTGCAAACAATTCCTGTAACTGTCAATGAAACTTATGCAGCTCTCAGCAGGTATTTTTTTCCACTCCTCATGAGCAGACTGCTCCAGTTGTCTCAGATTTGAAGGTTTTCCAGACAGCATGTTTCAGCTCCTTCCAAAGATGCTCAATAGGATTTAGGTCAGGATCATAGAAGGCCACTTCAGAATAGTCCAATGTTTTCCTCTGAGCCATTCTTGGTGTTTTTATCTGTTTTGGATCATTATCCTGTTGAAGACCCATGAGCTGTGACTGAGACAAAGCTTTCTGACACTGGGTAGCACATTTCTCTCCAGAGTCCTTGATGGTCTTGAGATTTCATTGTGCCCTGCACAGATTCAAGATCTCCTGTGCCAGATGCAGCAAAGCAGCCCAGACCATAACAGACCTCCTACATGTTTCACAGTAGAGACTGTTATTTTCTTCATATGCTTCATGTTTCCCTCTGTGAACATAGAACTGATGTGTCTTGACAAAAAGTTCCATTTTTAATAATAATWAAACATTTTATTTGAAGGCGTCTTTCATGGCACTCAAGGACACCGTACAATGTAAATACAATGAAATAAAACAAAAAGAATAAAGCAGAGAATAAAATTAACAATAAAACATCAAGGATTACATGACAAGTTTTGTGTTTAGGATTCAGAACAGTCAAACACTGAGCAGGTTTAAGTGTTTTATTGAAAAACAGGAAGCTGGTGGGATGTCGGGGTCTCGGGCTGGTGAACAGAGGAGCAGAACAAAGATGAGTGACTGTTCACTGCACAGGATTTGCTTTGGCTATAGATTGATTACTAACCTTCTGAAGCTGGTTAGAGGAGCTTGGCAGTTCCAGGAAATGAGACTGGCTCGTGGGCAGTGAGAGGCAATGATAGAGCAAAGGGGCAGACTTAATTCGTTGGTCTGGCAGGCAGGCAGAGGTCAGGTCCATGTGATCAGAGAGCCGAAGACAAATCCAAAACACAATCCAAAAGGTGAGGTCCAAGGGGCAAAAACAAGATCTTAATCCAAAGGTCATGAACATGAAGAGTACCAGGCAGGGATCAGGCCAAAAGGGAGAGTCAAGAGGCAGGCTTGAGGTCATGGACAGGAGATCAGGCATKGGCTGTGGAAAAACACTGGACATCTACTTGCCAAAGASYGTTYAATAAYCTGGCASAGAGTGGCTGTGGCTGAGGAGCTGATAAAGGGACCAGAACAGGTGAAACAGGAAGGGTGCGGCAAGAGCTGTGGAGCTGTGAGGCTGTGGGTGACAAGCAAACATAATACTAGAAAACATGAAACGTTACATTACATAACAATTAACAAATAAAAAACATTGTACAAAACAAAACATCCTACAAAAGTAGGGTTAATGGG